TGTTAGTCTGCGAGATGCGCGAGCGATGCGCATCCTCACAGCAGAAGGTTGCAAAATCCTTGTTTACACACGCGTAACAACGCGAATGACGTGCGTATTATCGCGTTAGTCTATCCGTTAATGTGCGCCTTCGTGTCGTTGCCTTTGGCATGCCACTGATCAAAAAAGAAAAAAAAAGAAGAAAAAGAAGAAAGAAAGAAGCGACTTTTATCCGCCGGCAGAAATGTTAACGGAGGGTAATGCGCGTGTTTCCTCAGCGAATCGTGCGAAACATATCATTACTGAATTCCCGGGAATTAAATGCGAAAAATCGAAAGCTCCGGCTCATTCATCAAGTTACTCTTTCTCTTTAGTGCATGAGCGCTTCGTTTATTATTCGTTGTGTAAACGAACGATTGACATTTCGTGCACTGTATATTTTTACTTTCTATCGCTGAAAATTTGAAGCAAAAGCAATTTGAAAGAATTGATAGACATGTCTATTCTTTTCGTATCGAAAGATATGAATTTATTCATTATCTGCAGTTTATTCTTTTTTATTCTGTACATTGTTACTTTACTTGTCACAAAACTGTCAATACTGTTTTCTTTTTTACCGTTTTTTTCCTTTTTTCTTTTTGAATAAATTTATCTATTTTAGAATATTGGTTAAAAAAATTATAAAGAAAAATCAAGAAAAATAAAAAAAATTCGGAATTTCCGATTTTTCAATTCGAGAAGTCAGTTTGCAATTTATCCTCCGTGTGCATAAATTATATCTCCAATTTTGCACTCAGGTCGATCACGAACGCGCCCGATATTTCGATCGCGATCGGTTTTTCCTCCGGCCGACGACGGAGGCAAGCATTCCCATCGCTCGGAGAAGAGCCTCTCGATTAAGTATCTCTCCTTTTCTACGGAATTGGGTATCCTCGGCGAATGGTGCGCGCGACCTCGCCGTCCTGCGCGTATAGGTCGTTTCACCTGTCACCTAGCGCAGGAACGAAAGAGAGAGGACGATCGCTGCGGGCGAAAAAGGAAAGGACGAGCCAATGAGCGAGTAGTCGCGGCAGACATCCCGACTGACCGGAATCGCTTCGGCGAACGCTCGGCTAAAGAGACCTCTCTGTAGCCGATTAAAAAAAACGAGGACACACGTCGAGATTAACAGGTCAATACGCATGCACGTCCATTCAAAATTCTTTTGACGCGATTAGCTTTTCTCTCGGGATTTTAGCCTTTACACTCGACATAATACACGTGTAAAACGTTGTTCGATACTTTGATTCTATTAGTATCAAAGCAACCATCACATTGTATCAACTTATTACTCGATCTAAATTAAATTATCATTATTTTTATATAAAAATAAGAATAGATTAATTTAATAATTCCTCTATTGTAATCTGTTATGTATGTATATTTAATATATTGTTATAATAATACATTTTTTGATAAGTTATTTATGGATAAAAGTAACTTTTTAGTATCACGAAATATTTAATTTTAAGCGGCACGATATTACGGAGTATTCTCGTTCTTAATCCCAGTTATAGGAGACATTCAAAGTTAATCCGATTTGTCTTCACTTCAGTTATCGTTCAGCGCAATGCATTTCATTCGTTACTTATTATAAAAAAAGAAACCGCGGATATTTCCATCGCCTAGATTTAAATCAACAACCGAGAGATGGCAAACTCCAGAAATCAAGTTGCGTGCTTGAGTTTACTCGCGCAGAGATATAAAAAAGAATATAGGTATGGCTGACGCCAAGGCGGACATATACGTGGCGAAATAACATTCTGCACATAATCCGCGACGGTACGAGGAAGAGCAGTACACCGCATTTCAAAGTTGCATTTACCACGGTGTGTATAGTTGTGTACATAGGCACGCCTCGCGTGGGTGTACAAGAGATCGCGGTCATTAAATCGCCACTGGAAATCTAGCGGGATGCGAGTGCGAGGCGGCGATATTCAAATGAATGCAAAACACCCGGACGCAAAGTGACAAATTTTAACGATTTCGCCAAGGATTACGACGAAAAGTTGCAGGTATTAAAAGTCTGCGAATGCGCGAAATACATTGGTAAAAATTGAATAAACAATCGAAAGATTGATGGCAAGTTTTTACAAACAGGAACTGGAAACAAGGACAACCCTATAAAAGATATATGTACTAAGGAAATGCAAATCTGTCTAACCGAAAGATAACAATTACATTACGCGTGCGATACTGTCAGAACTGCGCCTTGATATCAAAAGAATGCAATATATATTTAAATTTGACAATATCAAAATTTATATACTTAGTAAAAAATTTTGTGTTTAATTTAATACATTTTACGTGTCCCAGTTTATCTACTCTAATTTTTATGTTAATTTAACAGAAGGCAAATATGTAAATAAATAACGCAAGTAATGTGTGAAAAATTGAAACTCTTATAGAGAAGAAAAGTAACATAACTTATCTGTTTATTTTAACATATAAAATATGTCACCATCCAAGACTGTATTTACATATAAATTGTGTTATTTTAATATTAGAAACGGTAGACAGAAAAATTAACACAATATAACAATATATTGCATTAATACAAAAAAAAGTTTATGTTAACACAAAAAATTTCTGCACAGGTAGATTTCAACGCAAATACAAAATAAAAATGTTTTTAACCGCGCGTATCTTGAATATTAAAAAAGATATCTCTTCGGTTCCTTCAAATCGTCTATTACCCTGATGTATCCAAAAATGTTTACGTATCGAAACAAATAATTTTTTTACAATGTAATATTTGTAAAACTCTCCCAATGAAATTGCTAAAGACTATCTTTTTTTCACCGGCAAAAGTCGCGTGGTTTATGGCTGCGGTTAATACGTCCAGGAAGTGAGATCTAGACGTTATATTACGGCTTTCTTCGTACTATATATCTGAATCGGATGACAGGAGCCGGCCACGAGCCGCGTCGTCCCGTTTGTAGGAGAGAAGCTCTCGGGGCTCCGCAGTCCCCCCGGAGCGGAGAGATGGATGATGCCGGGTAGTAGTAAAAGCGCGTTATAACGACAGTGAATAAATATTGGAGTAGGTACACGGGCAGCATTACCATACAATACGCATACCGCGTAGAGTCGTTTTGCGGGCCACGCAAGGGTGCGACGCTTGGCTGTTGTGTCGCTCCTAGAACCGTTTTCTCCGTATGTGTATGTGTACGTGCGTTTCTTTCTCTTTCTCTTTCTCTCCCCAGCCTTCTCCCTCTGATCGCCATTAATCACCACGATCTTCCACCCAGTCCCACGCAGCCACGGCATACACTGTACGCGACATCGAAATACCGGAGGAGAGGCCTTCTCTCCTCGGCTAACTGTAAAATAGGACCTCGCGCAACGCGGATATCGCTTATCTCGCGGTGCGCACTGATCTATATCGACCTCTCGACACCGACGGACCGTGCACGGCGTGAACTAGTTTTCCCCCCGCAGTATTTTAGCGATCACTTAATATCCAGTGTAACGCTACCGATGTTGAAAAAACTCGAAAAAAAAGTGAAGGGTCAATCCCCTGTCGCGATTACACGATTATATTACAGTCAATATACATATGCAAATGTTAATTAACAAAATGTTCCATATCTTCGTGATAATGCGATAATGTGTCGTCGTTTGACACCGACTCTCTCTTTTTCTTTTTTTTTTTTTCAAAACGGTATTACATTTGCATTGTTTGATATGTGTAATTTTTCGTGCAATGACAATCGTGATAATTATTGTATATCGCACGTCTGAAATATGTACGATGGATATGCATATATGTCAGGAAACTACAATTTTTATCGTTCCCTTTCACATGGCACGTAATTACCACCTTCATAATTAAATATCCAGGTCGTGACCTGACTTTTAAATCTTTCTCAGTGCAGCTATTTCCGTGGAACAGTACGACATCACAAAGCGATGTTAGACTTTTGCGAATTAAAAACATTTTCGAGTCTGGGAATTTCATTCACATTAATCATTAAGTCATTCCGTTTCGCCATACGGTACAAATGCGCTAATAAGCGTCGGATTCCCTGTATAATGCATACGAAGATTGCACGCTTGACTGTTTTTCTACGAAACAGAAAGTGTTTCGACCCATTCAGACCCTGGACTAAGATTCCAATCTCGGAAGAAAGCTCGAATTAAGCTCCAACCGGGTTCAAGAGAATCTCGAAAGAAAAGTGCCATCCACCGCGGTTGGTCTTTAAGGACGAGCGTAAAGTTTCTAGATGCGAGCGAACGGAGCAGAAACGATCGCGCATCATTAGATCCTGTTGGCCTGCTGTCTCGGAGGTGTACGGCCGACGTAACGTAAGCTTGCATCCCGCCGACGCCGTACGACGGAGACGCGGTGACGTCGGCGCGGCCGCGTCCGACAAGGATGGCCGCATCCAGAGAGACAACACAACGTGCGCGCGCGAGAGGAGATCGGAGATCGGGAGGCCGGAGAGTAAGAGCTAGAAGCGCGGCCGGAGAGACGGGGGGGCCGGGAGGGGAGTGGGTGAGCCGACCTCTGACCCGAAGCGCGCGAGGGGGACCGCGCGGCACACCGTGGTGCATAGCTCAGGCATAGCTCGGGCCATAGGCACACAAGCGCGACTCGCCCGCCTTTCACTTCGCGAGGAGACGAAGGCAAGAAACGTACATAGATAGAGGCGGCCGGGGAGTGCCCCGCCGCGCGCGCTATTATCATATTACAGCCGATTCGCCGCCGTCGACGGTCGACGCCGACGACGCGACGCTGGCGTCGGATGCGGCCGCGGTGTCCGACGCGCCGATGCTCTACCGCCTGTTAACAGACGCGATCGGGATCGCCACATTACTTATAATTAAAATTAAAAACCAATCTCAATCTGAAAAAAAAATTAAGTAAGTGGGAAGAGAGAAGCCGGAAAAGGAGACAGAAAAAAAGAAAGAGATATACGCTAAGGGTTTACAAATTTCTTCAAGACACTTTGAATAAGAGTTATTTAATTATTTTAAAATCTTAGTTTGACTATTAAACACGGCATTGTTTAGAGTTGCATTTATATAGATTATTCATTGACAGAGTATTCAATTTTTCAGATTTATTTTTCCCGTTTTTATCTGTTCCTTTCATATTCTTTCCATGGTTTAATTAAATAAAATTATAAGAGAGAACGGTCTGTTTTAAAGATAAGCCAAAAAATTATACTACAATAAATTATAATGATATACAGTCTCTATTTGTAAATATTTGTAATAACATATACAGTATAAAGTCTATTTAAAAAAATGGTTATAACGACAGCATGCCTTTGATTTCTTCCTCCGCGATTTTCTCGCTGTCGACGCGCTTTACGACGGGATTATCATACGACGCGATCGTGGACAAATATTTCACACTCGGATTACGTAAGGAATTAGTGTCTAGGTATACACCTTAGGCGGCGTTCGGGCGCTCAATTTTTACGCTTCGCGGCGAGAAAAAATAAAAGTCGAATCGCCGCTATATCGCCGCCCGCTGCGATTGACGCGCGTGATCTCGCGTCGAGGCGAGACGAAAGTGATATCGTTGCGCTATGAACGGGACGTTTATTATCCTTTTTATCACGCCTGGATCCGCTATTTTCCGCGCGCGATCCGCTCTCGTAACCACCGCGCGATTATTTCTACAAACTCCCAGAGTGTGACGGCGTAATTGTAATTTATTGAATAATTATAGTATGGTGGTGTGTAATTGCAGCAACGGTGGTAGTGTGGCAAAAACGGGGCTGTTCCTTTTCCTGAATCCTGCAAACGCCCATATCCCTTCGAAAGTAACGAGCGATTATGAGAGGAAATTGTCACTGCAAAATAAAAATTTAAATAATAATTGAATAGAGTAATAAAAGTAAAAATATAAATTTACTAAATTATTTCTGTCGCCCCGATACGGAGCATCGTTCTGTTAATCAATCTGTTATCGAATCAATCTGTATACATTTCTCTCCTTACGCGCGATATCGTTGAACGTAACAACAAATAATAAAACTACTAATTTCCGTGAACGTTTCGACAGTTTCGAACATATTTCAGAGTAGCATTGACGGAAGTATCGGAGTCAATTGCGAGTGTCGACGAGCTGTTCGCTCGAGCGAGTGCGAGATTGACGGGATAATCGCGAGGCGAGACGCGAGTGATTTCGACGCATGGTAGATGGCACATACACACATACACACACACACACACACACACACAAAATCGTTATCGTCTTTATTACCCTACGTGTTTTTGTTCTTCTTTTATGTTCGATTTCGCCGTGGCAAATTACCAGCGCGCACAATTAACGATTTGGTGTTTTCACCGTTGGCAAAAAAAGAAAAGGAAGTGTCTTCAGATTTTTATCTCGATAGCAGATAACGTTGATGTTCACGACTGTGAATAAACTATGATTAACTCGTAAACGGATGCGTGATCCATCGAAGAAAAGATGTCAAGTTATTTTTGCAACGAGTTCATTGGGAATTCTCACAACGTATAGAAATGTAAAACCAGGTTTCTACCAATTACGACACATCCCAATTTTTCAGATGCTTTGTCTCAAAAGATATAAATACCCATGACTCGTTCTATATAGTATTTCCCAGTTTATTTTTTTTTAACATACTTTAACTGAATTATTTAACATTAATTATCGAGCATTCAAAATTATTTCAATGTTAAAATTCTCTCGCGAAGAGAATTATTTTCCCTTCATTAGTCATGCTTAACAGAAGGATCCTGTTCTTCTCGGTTATCGCACGACAGTCTGCGTGCAGTTTTATATATGTTTCTACATGACTATATTATCTCCATACGACTAGACATTGTGCATAACAGGTTTGACCCACCGATGCAGCCCGATCTGAGAATAACCGAGAAAGCGCGCGCACGTCTCTCGCCCCGGCCCGGCACCGCAGAGGACGACGACGAAATCACTTTCGTCGGGACTCCGCGCGTCTTCGCGCGCGCTAATCGCGGCGATGGCGCGATACCGGAGGTCGCACGGACACGTCCGACCCCGGGAATTTTACTTACCGGTACTCCTCGTGGACCGGCGCGGACCCGCCGCGCCGCGCTGGGGTATACTCTAACGTAAGCGCGGAAAGACAGAAGAAACGGTGATCGCGGATGGGAGAGAAAGAGAGAGAGAGACAGGCGAGGCCGAAGAGTACCGGTGAGAGTGCACGGCCGTAACGTACGGTACAATACAGTCGTGCTGGCATGCCCGTAGGTCGACCCACAGCGAGCGCGCGCGCGACGTGTAATTATCATCTCCCAAGGGCCTATCCCACGCTATCCAAGTTAAGTGGGACACAGCCGATTACTGCGTGAGCGATTAGAAGAGAGGTGCGCGGGGAAGGCGCTGGAAGAGGCCGTCCGTCTCCGGGTTCCTTCCTCGGATCGTGGACCGAAAAGGAACGCAGAGTTGTGGTCGATAAATTAACACGTTAAAATTGTATTTCACTCACGTTGGTTATAAGGCTAATTGAAATCAAGACTGTTTATCGTTGTCTGTTACGTAAGATGTAACGTCGTTTAGTATCGGTCAAAACTAATTTCAACATCACATAATTTAGTTAGATTATTCAAATCGCCATCTGGTAATTTAATGTTGATTTGCTGTGATATTACACACATGGTGTATATCTGTGCGCTGTACTTTGTAAAGAAATAATTAAAGTCTATCAGTCTGTAATGGCGAGATTGCAAATACAAAAGTGCCTGATAGATCACATGAATGGAGACAAATCGTTTTACGAACATAATGAATGGAAGTTGATATACCAAATTAAATCCCGATTAATTCCTGTTCCACTTAAAAATGTTTAATGAAATCATCAACCTTAGTCCGACTTGAATACATAGAACTAATAGGAGAAAGTATCGAACGTCGCGATCGAGGAAGAAATTTGTTACAATCTTGTATGATGTACGTATGCTTGTGTAATGTATATTTATTACAACTTTGAGTTTTCTTGAATTACGTGTGGGTAGAAAAGGTTACATCTAAAAAGTACGCAATAAGAGACATCGCAAAAACTTTGAGAAAAAGGAGCTCCACCGTTCAACTATTTCGATCGCATATTAATATTCTAAGAAAATGTAAAATTATACAAATAAAAAGCAGCGTTGCTTTTTTTGCATATACTAATGCGGAAATGCGCTAGTGCACTGACGCTCTTACAACTTTACACCGAAATAATTACGAGCTCGATTACGTTGTGGGTTACGGCAATTCAGGTGCATAAGAGCTTGCGTCAATTGTTATGTGTGGGCGTAGGCGGCGAGAGATATAGGATACAATGAAGTCCTACCCGCGATATCAAACTTCTCGAGCGTAAAGAGACGTGATTAAATTAGACGCAGCGCAGCTGATCACTGCCGCGAGTGATTAGAACGGAGAGGGATGTCAGTGGTAGAGGAAGGATAAGACTCCGCCGATGATTGATTCGTGTTTCTCTTGTCAGAGAACGAGAAGGAAATGAACCTGTCCGCGTTAACGCGCCCCCCGCTACTTATCATTTCACCACGCATAATTGCGCCATAACAACCGTGTGTGTGTGTTGTAGCGCACGATTGTAGCGATTACATAAAAGAAGATCTAGAAGTATGGAACGAATTATTTCTCACAGGGAGATTTAATGCAAATACATAATTGACCGTTTGAGTATAATGATTTAATCCTGATAATATATCGCGATTTAAACAGGCTATTAAATCGATTATAAATAGATAAGAAGATAATAAAATAGTAGAGTATAAACTTGTATATTGCTGTAATAAGATATAGCATTTTTTGAAAAGGAAAATGACTCTCAATCCAATTATTTCCAATGATCTATATTGCTTATAAATATGTAAATATCCGTAGTAATTTATATCTTTTAGATGTTGTATGATTTTAATTGCTATTTTATTAAAATTATATCTTATCTTTAATCGTTGATATTTTTTGATACTACAAATTGATGGAAAGAATTTTTTTCAGAATTATAGATTTAAATGTGAGGAAAAAAGAAAGAGAGAGAGAGAGAGAGTGAAGAGAGGGGGGAAGGGAGAATCAATAAGAATAAATTAAATAATTATATTCAGGAATATTTAAAACGTGATACTTATCATTTCATGGTCGACATAATTCACGATTGGGCTGACGTAGTTTGCTGTTTCTGATGATGATATTCCTGCTGCGATGAATCATTTACACAGTGCAACGAATTTCGTTCATGCTAATAAGCGCAATAAGTTGGGCAGGGACAGATTCCGAAATAATTCGGTAATTTGTCGACGTCCTTGTTTTTAATTACGCGGCATCCAAATTCAAATCTTTACCGATCGTATAGAGATAAGAGGAATGGACGGCTGCGGACGAAGCGTATACGCGCGAACAGACCTGCGAGATACGTTAAGGCATTACGCAATTACGGCGTTTATGAATTTATATATTCGTTAAGTTTAGTGTATTGCAATTCTCACGCTTGAGCAAGTGATGGTTTACGTAATTCCGATGTTACTCGAAAAAATTGGTAGACTTCGTGCGAAGCTTTTATAATTGCCCAAGACACTTGCAATATTTCGCAATACTTTTCGTCCAACGTTTACATTCGTAAATTATAATTAATTGACATCTCATAGAGCTTTAATCGCTCAATTAATCTGCTGGGCATAGCGCCAACTTTTTACCTTCTTTCGGAATGAATCCCGTAATGAAATAAGTATCAGGTCGTGTAAAGTCGGGTGAGCGATTAGGCCTCGATTAATCGTGACGCTGGTGCCTCTCGGTGCGAAAGTCGCGAACGAGAGAAAACAATGGACCGTTCGGGAATCAAGCGCAATGAGAAAGGGCGGAACGCAACGTCGACGGCGAGCATGATCGCTCGCGAGAGGCCTAACGGTTCTTTCTCTCCCGGACTAACGTCATCGAGGGTATATACTTCTTCGACGTAATTCTTTTACATAAACTTGACTATAACTCTTGAAAATTTACGTAAGTGCGACGATGACAGGTCGTCGACTATCGGCGCGATCGAGTGCAGATAGTAATCGGTACTCCAGGTAGACCGAGAGAAAAGATACTCCCACGCGCGCGGAAACTGCTATTGACATTGACCAGTTTCCGTGTCGTATACACAAACGGACGACTACTCCAAATTCCTGCGAAACGGAAAGTCCTCTAGCGCAACGCAACAATATTTGTCATTGGTTTCCAAACTCGAGATGAAAGGAAAAGTGAGGGATAAATGGAACGATTTTTAAACGCAACCATTTTTTTAGATAACATGTAAATGTTACTAAATGCAGCAAGTATTTCATAATACTCGACGCGATTGTAATCTCAAGGACTCTCGACTAACACGCTATCTTATACTAATTTACGACGCTGCGGGACGAAAAATATTGCCGAGGGACACGTGGCCGGCATTCGGGTTCGCTAACGTGGCCACTGCCTCGGTTTCGCTAACGCGATCGTGCCTAATTACAAGCGCAATAGTAAGGGGAACGATTGTTAAAGAAAACGGCGGTGCATTTAGAGGCTGCGCGACCTCGCTACAACCGCGATAGGTGAGAACCATTGGGAGAGGAAAAGTCGTGCGCGACGTTGGTGGCCCGCCACCCGGAACGGACGACAACGACGACGGCGACGACGACGGTTATGGAGCCATCAGATTTCCTCGGACTCCATTCATCTGAGTCCATCCATTGTCATCGTCAACGCTAATAACGCGGGACGAATCCCGACTGCATCGCTAAATGCATCATACCGATAAAATCATTCGCGACGCGTGTGCGTCAGAATGTTCATTTTTTTGTTAAACGCAACCTTGAA